CCTCTCTCCCCTTCTCCTTCTCCTTCCTCCCCTACCATCTCATTTACCCCTCCCCTCCCCTCCACACACTATACTTGGTCAACCTTATGTATCTAACTCTCGCCTCCTTTCCTGTATAATACCCTTATGCCCCTCCTCTCCCCCCTCCCCCTAGCGTGAGGCCACCCACACCAGCAGAGTACCCCACCGCCAGTGTGCAAATGTCATCCATCACCACCACACCACCCATCACTCGAGGTTAGTCTCCTCTCTCTCTCTCTCTCTCTCTCTCTCACGCCCTATGAGCTGTACCTAAGTGTTTTCCTATTAATTGGGATAAATAGGTAAATAGGTGGTAATGCTTACTGATTATCCTATATTTAAGATTTTTTTTCTTGAAATAGGACGAGTTTGTATTGGATCTCTGTTATTCACGCCTATTTAGATCCTATTTTCTTTGTTAATCAGTAATTACGTCTATTAACCTATTTTAAACCCGTAATTAACCACCTCCCTCCCTTACTATCACTAATGCTATTTTGGTGGTCATTTTTGGGGTCCTCAACGCCCTCATTAAGGATCTGGGGTCGACAAGATAGAATTGGGATAATTACTTGTTCTAATTACCTTATTAGTACTTGGGAAACACTTGACCCTAAGAGTAATAAGTTAAATTACCTTAACAGAGGAGGAAGAGCTACAGGTGGTGTTTTATTATTATTATTATTATTATTGTTATTATTATTATTATTATTATTATTATTTATTCAGAAATTTGTCATACAGGTTTACAATTGGATAAACATGTATATAAACTATCAGATATACAGTGCAGCATGAATATGAGACAATGAAGGTATACAGTGCAGCATGAATGTAGACAATGAAGGTATACAGTGCTGCATGAATGTAGACAATGAAGGTATGCAGTGCAGCATGAATGTAGACAATGAAGGTATACAGTGCTGCGCAGATGTAGACAATGAAGGTATACGGTGCAGCATGAATGTAGACAATGAAGGTATACAGTGCTGCATGAATGTAGACATGAAGGTATACAGTGCAGCATGAATGTAGACAATGAAGGTATACAGTGCTGCATGAATGTAGACAATGAAGGTATACAGTGCTGCATGAATGTAGACAATGAAGGTATACAGTGCAGCATGAATGTAGACAATGAAGGTATACAGTGCTGCATGATGTAGACACTGAAGGTATACAGTGCAGCATGAATTTAGACAATGAAGGTATACAGTGCTGCATGAATGTGAACAAAGGTATACAGCAGTATGAATGTAGACAATGAAGGTATATAGTGTCAGTATGAATGTAGACACGATGGGTATACAGTGTTGCATGAATGTAGACAATGGGCTGGTATACAGTGTATGAATGCAGACAATGAAGGTACAGTGCAGCATGAATGTAGAGACAATGGTATATGAAAAGGATGATGTAGACATGAAGGTTTACAGTGCAGCATGAATGTAGACAATGTAGGTATATAGTAAGAAGTGAATGTAGACAATGAAGGCATACAGTGAATGTAGATAATGAAGGTATACAGTGCAGTATGAATAATGAAGGTATATATATGAATGTAGACAGCTAATGAAGGTATATAATGAAGGAGCATGAATGTAGACAATGAAGGTATACATAGTGCTGCATGAATGTAGACAATGAAGGGTATACAGGCAGGCATGAATGTCGTAGACAATGAAGGTATACAGTGCAGCATGAATGTAGGATAATGAAGGTATACAGTGCAGTATGAATTAGATAAATGAAGGTATATAAGTAGTGCTGTATGAATGTAGACATGAAGGTATATATAGTATGATTTAGACAATGAAGGTATAAGAAAAGCATGAATGTAGACAATGAAGGTATACAGTGCTGCATGAGTGTGACAACATACAGTGCAGCAAGGAATGTAGACAATGAAGGCAGGTAAGGAATGTAGACAATGAAGGTATAGGTGCATGAGTGTAGAATGAAGTGTATGTATATATATGAATGTAGACAGTCGAAGGTATACAGTGCTGGTATGAATGTAGACAATGAAGGTATAAGAAAAGTAGTATGAATGTAGATAATGAAGGTATACAGTAGCATGAATGTAGAGATAATGAAGGTGATGGCTAGTGCAGTAATATGAATGTAGATAATGTGAAGGTATATAGTGCAGTATGAATAGTAGATAATGAAGGTATACAGTGCAGCATGAATGTTGTGTTGGCGATGGTGCTTCTACACCTAAACACTGGGGTCATGCAGCAGTCAAGCTAACTCCAGGTGTGGTTATGCTGTGTTACGATGCTTTCTACACTTTTAAACACTGGGTCATGCAGGCTCGTTAACTCAGGGTGTAGGTTGTTGTGTTACACAGCTTTGGCACCTTAAACACTGGGTCATGCAGCCTGTTAACTCAGGGTGTGGTTGTTGTGTTGGCGACAGCTTCTACACCTTAAACACTGGGTCATGCAGCCTGTTAACTCATGGTGTGGTTGTTGTGTTGGTGACAGCTTCTACACCTAAACACTGGGTCATGGCTCGTTAACTCAGGGTGTGTGGTTGTTGTTATGGGACAGTTTCTAAGCACCTAAACCTGGCCAGTAGCCTGTTAACTTAGGTGTGGTTGTTGCATGACAGCTTCTGAGACCTAAAACCCTGGGTCATGCAGTCACAGTTAACTCATGGTGTGTGGCGGTTGTGTTATGACACAGCTTCTACACCCAAACACTGGGTCATGCAGCTCTGTTAACTCAGGTGTGGTTGTTGGGTGTTGGCGACAGCTAAGCACCTTAAACACTGGCCGCGCAGCCTGTTAACCCAGGTGTATAGTTAAGGACAGCTTCTACACCTTAAACACTGGGGTCATGCAGCCTGTTAACTCCAGGGTGTGGTTACAAAGGGCGAGCCACACCCAACACTGGGGTCAGGCAGTGAATCTCCAGGGTGTGGTTGTTGTGTTGGCTTAAATAACTTCACGCCCATGGCCTGGCCATCCTTCCTGCCAAGAAGGCTAACACATATATTGGTGTGGCCACGACACTGGCTGTGCCAGGTGACGTGTCAACACATGATTTATACTTGTTCACTTTTGTCATTTACTAGGTAGGTGGTAGGTGTGTGTGTGTAAAGATGTTTCTGAGTAAGCCGACAGTCTCCCTCACGCACACACTGCATGTTACTTACCAGTGTGGGTGTGTGTGTACTTATATGATCACATGTACGCTCTGCTCTGTCCACACACACACACACACACACACACACACACACACACACACACACACACACGCCTCCATCACTAATACTTTTATATCAAACATTCTTTCTCCTTCCAAGGTTCTATACACACACTATGGCACACACTCATACAATTAGTGACACACACTCCCCACACACTATACACACACCCCATACACTATACACACACCCCATACACTATACATACACTCCCACACACTATACACACACTCCCACACACTATACAATAATAATTCCCCATACACACTATACACACACTTCATATAATTATACACACACTCCTATATACTATACACACATTCTACACACTATACACATACCTCCATACACTATACACACACCTAAGCACACTATACACACACACTTACACACTATACATACACTCCCCATACACACTATACATACACTCCCCATACACTATACACACACTCCCCATACACTATACACACACTCCCCACACACTTACACACACTTCCACTACACTATACACATACTCCCATACTACTCATACACTTCCCATACATATACATACACTTCCATACACTATACATACCTTCATACACTATACATACACTTCCATACATACCATACACTTCCATACACTATACACATACTCCCATACACTATACATACACTTCCATACATACATACATACACTTCCATACATACATACACTTCCATACACTATACATACACTTCCATACATACACTTCCATACATACATACATACACTTCCATACACTATACATACAAACATACATACATAATGTTCCGTATAGTTCCGTAATGTTCCTCGTCGACAGAAAAAAAGTATCATTAGCATTATGGGAGGCAAACGGAACACATAGTGGAGTATAGAGAGGTATAGTGGCACCAAACATCATGATCAATACTTATCCTTGTGGCGACTGTGTGTGTGTGTGTGTGTGTGTGTGTGTGTGTTTGTGTGTGTGTGTGTGTGTGTGTGTGTGTGTTTACTAAATAAACCATAACTTTTCTTTTCTTGTATTAAAACATTTCCAGACTTTTGTATCTATAACATTTTTGGTTAACGGGTTGTAAATGTTGTAAAAAGTTGAAAAATGTAAAAAAATGTTGTAAAATATGTAAAAATGTTGTTATATTGGGTTTCTATTTTTCTTTAATTTACTACATTGTTACAGTATTTTTGTTAAGTAAATATTAATTAACTTTCTTATATCATCCTGCCATCTGGCCCCTGACAACACTGACCCTGACAACACTGACCCTGACAACACCGACCCCTGACAACACTGACCCCTGACAACACTGACCCTGACAACACCGACCCCTGACAACACCGACCCGTGACAACACCGACCCGTGACAACACCAACCCTGACAACACTATCCCTGCCCACACCGACCCGTGACAACACCCACTCCGCCCACCTCCCCTGACAACATCCACCCCATCCCACCTACCCCCAACATCCACCCATCCCACACCCCTGCTGCCCAAACCGACCCCTGACAATACCGACCCTTCCCACCCACTCCTGCCCATACTTACCCATGACAACACATCCCTGCACACCGACCCTGCCCACCACACCTGGGTTTATATAACCCACGCGCCTCTCCACAGTTGCAACAGTAGCAGCAGTAGTGGGGGTGAAACACCGGGGCAGCAGTGTGGGCAGCAGGAGTGGCATGGGTTGTGGTGCCGTACCTCAGATCAGCATTACTCCTGACGAGGCACAAGTCCGGCGTGGGCTCTCTCTCAAGACTCAACGGCTCCAGACTTGACCTGAGCAGCATGGATGGTGACCTCTCGCCTAGTGACCCAGAGGACAAGTGAGTACCTGAAGGAGGGTTGGACAGTGAGTACCTGAAAAGGACAGAGGACAAGTGAGTACCTGAAGGGGACAGAGGACAATTGATTACCTGAAGGGTGAGGAAAGGGAAGGGAGTAAATGAGGTAGGTGAGGGAGAGGAAAATAGGATAAAGTAGAAGAATGGTGTATTAGAAGGGAGGGGGAGGAGGGCAGAGATAATGTAAAGGAGAGGGGGGTCAATAGAAGGGAGGGGCAGGAGTCAGTAGAAGGGGGAGGGCAGCAGGTCAATATTAGAAGGGGAGGGAGGCAGCAGAGGTGAGTATTAGAAGGGGAGGGGGCAGGAGTCAGTATTAGAAGGGAGGGCAGGGTCAGTATTAGAGAAGGGAGGGAGAGCAGGGTCAATATTAGAAGAGAGAGGGCAGGGTCAATATTAGAAGGGGAGGGCAGGTCCAGTATTAGAAGGGAGGGGCAGGTCAGTATTAGAAGGGAGGGCAGGGTCAGTATTAGAAAGGGGAGGGCAGGGTCAGTGTTAGAAGGGGAGGGCAGGGTCAGTATTAGAAGGGGAGGGCAGGGTTAGTATTAGAAGGAGGGGGCAGGGTCAGGTATAGAAGGAGGAGAGGGGAGCAGGGTCAATATTAGAAAGGGGGAGGGGCAGGGTCAGTATTAGAAGGGAGGGCAGGGTCAGTATTAGAAGGGGAGGGCAGGGTCAGTATTAGAAGAGGGGAGGGCCAGGGTAGTATTAGAAGGGAGGGGGGAGCAGGGTCAGTATTAGAAGGGGGAGGCAGGGTCAGTATTAGGGGAGGGGAGCAGGGTCAGTATTAGAGACAGGGTCAATATTAGAGGGAGGGGGTAGGGTCAGTATTAGAAGGAGGGGGCCAGGGTCTGTATTAGAAGGGAGGGCCAGGGTCAGTATTAGAAGGAGAGGGGGCCAGGGTCATTATTAGAAGGGGAGGGCCAGGGTCAGTATTAGAAGGGGAGGGGCAGGGTCAGTATTAGAAGGGAGGGTCAGGGTCAGTATTAGAAGGGAGGGGTGGCAGGTCAGTATTAGAAGGAGGGTCAGGGTCAGTATTAGAAGGAGGGCCAGGGTCAGTATTAGAAGGGGAGGGTGCGGGGTCAGTATTAGAAGGAGGGCCAGGATCAGTATTAGAAGGGAGGGGCAGGGTCATAGAGAGGGGCCAGGGTCAGTATTAGAAGGGAGGGGCAGGGTCAGTATTAGAGGGGAGGTCAGGGTCAGTATTAGAAGGGAGGGTGGCAGGGTCAGTATTAGAGGAGGGGCCAGGGTCAGTATTAGAAGGGAGGGTGGCAGGGGTCAGTATTAGAAGGGGAGGGGTCAGGGTCAGTATTAGAAGGGAGGGGTGGCAGGGTCAGTATTAGAAGGGAGGGCAGGGTCGGTATTAGAAGGAGGGGTCAGGGTCAGTATTAGAAGGAGGGCCAGGTCAGTATAGAAGGGAGGGGCCAGGGTCAGTATTAGAAGGGAGGGGCCAGGCTGCATTAGAAGGGGAGGGTGCAGGGCAGTATTAGAAGGAGGGGCCAGTCAGTATTAGAGGGGCCAGGCAGTATAGAAGGGAGGGGGCAGCCTGTAGAAGGGAGGCAGGTCAGTATTAGAAGGGGATCAGGTAGTGCAGTAGCATGTAGATGGTCAAATCGATTAAGGAGGAGCCAGGGGAGTCAGTATTAGAAGGAGGGGGGCCAGGCAGTATTAGAAGGGAGGGGGGTCAGTATTAGGAAGGAGGGGGGCAGGTCAGTATTAGAAGGAGGGGCCAGGTCATTATTAGAAGGAGGGGAGCAGGTCAATATAGAAGGAGGGGCCAGGGTCAGTATTAGAAGGAGGGGCCAGGGTCAATATTAGAAGGGAGGGGGCTAGGGTCAGTATTAGAAGGGGAGGGGCAGGGTCAGTATTAGAAGGAGGCCAGGGTTCAGTATTAAAAGGAGGGGAGGCAGACCACTAGTGGTAACGGGTTGTTTGGTTCACACTCAGGATGGGATGGAGAAAGAACTCACAATGTGCCTCTATACATGTTGTATTGATGCATGAGGCAGCTTTGAAGGAAGCATGGTTACAAGCGTGATGTAGAGAGAGCTGGTTGGTGAGGATGCTCAGAGGAGGACAGCTTGTGGGTCGCCATGCCTGCCGGGAGCGAGGTCAGCAAGGAGGAGGAGGTGTATGTAGCTAGAAGAAGAGAGCTGGTTGGTGAGGATGCTCAGAGGAGGACCAGCTTGTGGGTCGCCATGCTCTCGGAGGGAACGAGGACCCAGGGCAGGAGGAGGAGGAGGTGCTGGCTGGTTGGTGTAGGTAGAAAGAGATATCACCACGAGGTCAGGTCTTAAATAGCGGGGCTAGGCGTGGCTTAGTAGTTGACCTCCGTGATGTATGGCGGCGCTGGTTGACCCAGACCACGAGGCATACACTGGGGAATTCAGGGGTCATGCAGCGACAAACAGCATTTGTAGGAGAATTCCACATCACTATATTAGAAGGGGGGGTGCTGTTTCGATTATCATTCACCAAACACACCACGCTATACATTCAGTTCATTGTGGTATTATTAGGACACGTGAATTATGGCTGACAGGACTATAGATATACAATGTTAGCAAATTCGTGTTTTTAACTCATACTAACATGTCTGGTGGTAAATTGAAGCTTGACATTCTTTTTCTTTTTTACAGGAACAAGTCTTACAAACATTATAGTGTTTTATTTTCTTGTCGATTTTAGTTTTCTATGTAAATTTCACACACAATTACATTAATACATTTTATCTTATGTATAAGTGAATATAAGAGAGAAACAATATTTACGAATTTAATATACCTAAACCACAAACATAACTTACTACTGATCATTAATTGTATGTTTCACGTGTATGTATGGCACTACACATTTTCAGTTAATACAACTATTTTTAGTGTATTGTTAATAATAAAAACTAAACCAATATTTATACAGCTAATATTTATGTAGTTTGTTAAGTAAACCTTTCCAATGCTGGATAAAAAGATGTCTGCTATTGGGAGTGTCCGGTATTAAGAAGTCTGTTATTGAGAGGGTCTGCTATTGTGAAGTCTATCTACTATTGAGAGTGTTTGCTATTGAGAGTGTTTGCTATTGTGAAGTCTATCTACTATTGAGAGTGTTTGCTATTGAGAGTGTTTGCTATTGTGAAGTCTATCTACTATTGAGAGTGTTTGCTATTGAGAGTGTTTGCTATTGTGAAGTCTATCTACTATTGAGAGTGCTTGTTATTGAGAGTGTTTGCTATTGAGAGTGTTTGCTATTGAGAGTGCTTGTTATTGAGAGTGTTTGCTATTGAGAGTGCTTGTTATTGAGAGTGTTTGCTATTGAGAGGGTCTGCTATTGTGAAGTCTATCTACTATTGAGAGTGCTTGTTATTGAGAGTGTTTGCTATTGAGAGTGTTTGCTATTGTGAAGTCTATCTACTATTGAGAGTGTTTGCTATTGAGAGTGTTTGCTATTGTGAAGTCTATCTACTATTGAGAGTGCTTGTTATTGAGAGTGTTTGCTATTGAGAGTGTTTGCTATTGTGAAGTCTGTTAGTGAGTGTCTGCTATTACTTTTACTTTTATCCTCTTCGCCACTGATCAGCTCGCTAGCCGCTTGGGCGATCGGTCACGTCTCTGTCACGCACTGTTGGCAAATACTGGGCATGCACCAGCTCCTGAATGTACCTGAACCCGCTCCAGTGTTGGTCAAGTCTTGTCTTGAAAGAGCTCACACTCGGTGCCGTCACAACACTCTCTGGTAGATTGTTCCAAGAGTTCACAACTCTCACTCTGAAAAAGTTTGCCCTCACAGTTTTCTGGACTTGAGGCTTCTTCAATCTTGAGCTGTGACCCCTTGTGGGGCGAGCGTCCGCCAGCTCCAAGTAAGGACACTCAACTGAGTAGTGCCCCCTGAGATGCTTTTACACCTCAATTAGGTCGCCCCTTGCCCGTCTGTAGTATAAGCTAGGCAAGTTCAGGCGCTCCAATCTCTCAGGGTAGCTGAGGTGCCGAAGTGCAGGCACCAGTCTGGTGGCCCTCCTTTGAACATTTCCAACCAACTGACAGTCCCTAGCATATCTCGGGGACCAGATGGGGTGACAGTACTCCAGATGGGGAAGCACTTCACTCCTGAAGATCGTTACGAGGGACGGACCGTCTAGATATCTGAACTTCCTTCTCATAAGACCCAATAATTTATTTGCCTGATTTACCTTCTTCTCACAATGGCCCGAGAATTTCAGCTCATTGTCAACATACACACCTAGGTCCTTCTCACACACAGTCTCAACTAGTGCAGTTTCATCATCCCGTTGGGACATATGATACGCCTCCTTACCGTTGGTACGCCCCAGGTGCATCCTCTTACACTTCGTGACATTGAATCTCAGCAGCCATTTCTTCGACCATTCCTGGAGCCCACAGAGGTCCTTCTGCAGCTCTTCACAGTCCGTTTGGTTCTTAATTTTCCGAAATAACTTGCCATCATCGGCAAACAGTTGTATGGAGGAGTGTACAACGTCAGGCATGTCATTTATGAAACAAACAAACAACAGCGGGTCCAATACACTGCCCTGTGGTACCCCACTTGTTACAGGTACAGATGACGATTTCGTGCCATTAATCACCACACACTGCTTGCGGTCATGTAGAAAGTCTTCTATCCACGCTAGGACATTTCCCCGAATTCCGTACCCTTCCAGTTTGATTTTCAGCCTTTCGTGGGGTACACTGTCGAAAGCCTTGGCAAAATCTAGGTAAATATTGTCGATATTACCACTCCGTTCCAGAATATGGGTCCAAATATCCAATACCTTCAGCAATCGTGTTAAGCAAGAGCGCTATTGAGAGTGTCTGTTATTGAGTGTCTGTTATTGAGTGTCTGCTATTGTGAGTGTCTGTTATTGAGAGTGTCTGTTATTGTGTGTTATTGAGAGTGTCTGTTATTGAGAGTGTGTTATTGAGAGTGTTTGTTGTATTCATGACTATATCACCTACCCTCAGGACCTGTATCTTCTGTGGGGCATTTGACAAGACCTTTACAGACAGTGGGCTGGATTTGCACTACTGGAAGACTTGTCCCATGTTAACCAGATGCCATCACTGTCGTCAGGTGGTGGAAGTCGCCTCTCTCACACAACACCTCCTTGGTAAGTCGCCTTTCTCATTATCATTTCCTTAATACCTAATAATATTCTTGTGTACCCAGTCTTAATGTGATAAACCTTACCGCTGTGGCATCACTGTGAAATTTGTTTGAAAAGTTACGGTATTTTATCTTTTGGCAGGTGAGTGTGTTTCCTCTTCAGAGTATCGACGATGTGAGCGCTGCTCTGAAGCCATCCCAAAAAAGAATTTCCACAGCCACGCCTTAGCTAAAAGTTGCATACGTGAGTCTGTCGTGTGCAAATGGTTTAGTTTGTAACTTCATTAAATCCTTGCAGTTTTTAAACTTAAATGGGGAACACCAGTTGGTAAATACAAAATTTCCAGAACTTAAGAATGATTTCTGTGAGACCCCATTGTGTTTGGTGAACCCTCACCTTCACTGCTTTATTCCTTCTGAGTCACCTGCTGTCGATTATATACAGTACACTCACAGCTTCACCACTAACACAGATGTTGTGTAAAACTACTTCAACACTTAAACCTATCAAACCCTCCTGCTAAAATTTTCTCTGTCTTCTATAATTATGAGCTGACTTAAAGGCGTTTGTTGCTATGTCTCATCTTCCAGTCACATACTTAGCAAACTCTCCAGTTCTCCATCAAACTGCCCCTTGACCGTCACCTTTGTTGTAGTTAATGTAGCGCTCGCTGGTCTTGGCAGAAGTTATTGTCTATATAACCAAGTGTAGAGATTAACCCACATTGACCTGACCCTCCCCGACCTCGCACTTCAACACTTGTGTTTTAATGTTTAATCCATTCCAAAATGTTACTCTTTCTTGGCACTTTGGATTCTTCCCAACACCATCACTTGAAGACATCTTCCCTGACTTTTTTTTTTAATGTAAGATGATCAAAATAAGAATAAAATAATGTGTTATAATACATATCCAGTCCATTAATCTTTAAGTTTCATGTTGATGATAATGTTAAGTAAATAAATTTCCAGTTCCCAGTTAACCACACCAGCTAGCAGTTATTGCTCATTGTTATACATTATGTTTCTCAATTTTTAAAAGATTCATCTTTTCTCCACAGCCGCTAAACCAGAGCCCATCGCCAACCATTGTCCACTGTGCCACGAAAACATTGCACCGTGGGATGATGGATGGCGGGAGCACCTCATGCCTGGCCCCAACACTTGTCTTAACAACCCCAGGGCCTGGCAGCAAGGTGTGTTATGTTACTTCAATCACTGTTTCTGTCATGGTATTGTACTTTATCCTCTTCACCACTGATCGGCTCGTTAGCCGCTTGGGCGGTCGGTCACGTCTCTGTTACACACTGATGGCAAGTACTGGGCATGCACCAGCTCCTGAATATATCTGAACCTGCTCCAGTGTTGGTCAAGTCTGGTCTTGAAAGAACTCGCACTCGGTGCCGTCACAACACTCTGGCAGGTTGTTCCAAGAGTTCACAATTCTCGCTCCGAAAAAGTTTACCCTCACAGTTTTCTGGACTTGTGGCTTCTTCAACCTTGAGCTGTGACCCCATGTGGGGCGAGCATCCGCCAGCTCTAGGTATGGACACTTGGCTGAGTAATGCCCTTTGAGATGTTTATACACCTCAATTAGGTCCCCTCTTGCCTGTCTGTAGTACAAGCTAGGCAATTTCAGGTGCTCTAATCTCTCAGGGTAGCTGAGGTGCCAAAGCACAGGCATCAGTCTGGTGGCTTTCCTTTGGACATTTTCAATCAACTGACAGTCCCTAGCATATCTGGGGGACCAGACAGGGTGACACTACTCCAGGCGAGGAAGCACTTCACTCTTGAAGGTAGTTACGAGGGACGGACTGTCTAGATATATTTAAGACTACTGTATATTAACACTATCTATTTAACTCTATACAGTACTGTACAGTATTAATACTACTTGTACCTTGTGTTTTGGCAGATGAGGTTATACTGCCTGACTGGGGTCACTAATTTTAAGGGGGAATTCTTAACTCTAATCTTAATTTCTAAGGGTCGCTGCCACCAGACCCCCTCTGGACAGTATGCAACTCGATGGTAGCGGGCAGAGTGGACTAGGCATTGGGTTAGGTTTTTCATTGACCAGATCGATAAGGGGAAAGAAGGGTGAAACCACAACATGTCTTAGTTCTTTCAATTATTCTTTCTACTTACTTCAGTTCATTTTGGTAGCATGTCGGTGGTCTAGGTACATGGGTAGTGTAATTCTGATATCAGGGTCACTTGGATGGAAATAAAGGTAACTACTGTGGGAGAAATGAATACTCCTAAAATACTCAAAGAACAAGTTTATTAATATAAAATCAAAGTACCAGGCTCAACTCCTGGGCTTATTGCAGACTCCGTATTTCTTATTTACTTATTTTATTATTTACTCAACAGCAATTACTCAGATATTACACTCTTACCGTGCACACTCTTACTGGTGTCACATTACATTACATAGCAGGACCAGTTCCTTGTCCTTACTCACAATACACTAATACTGATACAAACACCGACATGGGTCCACTACCCAACATGGGGTAATTATTAACAAACACATACGACCACACTGTGGACTATAACTCCAAGGCCTGTCCCAGGGTATAGCACTGGCGCCTCTAACAATTGCTGTTGTGGTCGGTTACACTCCGACATGAGGCAGGTCTGGGGCCCTCGGCCCACGAGGTAGAGAAGAGCCGATTAATCATGTCGAATCAGCGCCATCACTCCTATATTGACCACTGCTGGGTATCCACCGGCTCCGAGCGACCGGTGGGTTTCAATTAAGCCCACCGTCGATCTGGGAACGAAGGTGAAAGGTGATACGGGAGGTCTTTTGGGGAAGCATGGTGGGTCACAAACAAATCTTTAGTCTCGCCACGTCAGATATGTACGTTATATTACTTCTTACACTGGGTGAATGACAATTCCACTGTTAAAGCATGAACACTGATGAACACTGATATTCACTACAATAGACTGAATCAAACTGAATGGTTATAAACACAGAACATACCTGGGAACAAAGGTGAAAGGTGACACGGGAGGTCTACTCCTCCCGCCTCCCACTGGTTTATTTACCCCTGAGTTGCCAGCGATCGCTACTCACGCAATGACAGAAATTACAAACAATCTAACTGTTACTCATTCGAGGATGACCCTCAGTTGACAAAGGTCTGGCGAATTACTAAAGGTGATTTACACAGACTAATTCAAGGTTGCGTTTGCCTGTAGAGAGTGGAATAAACGTAGTGACAACTGTGTTCAAGGGGGGACTTACTGGGAGTGATCCTGAGGGTAAAATACATGGGAAAAACACGTCTCTCCTGAGATTCTACAAGCGCAGTGGATTTGAATGTTATGTAGTGTAATATGAATTAAAATGGGTTTTTAGGAATGACAATGATGTGCGCAGTACAAGGTCATTAGGTAGATTTTGTTAAAATTAAATGCAAATGTTCTCTTTAAATGCTGATGATGGATCTGGGTTCATAATTGAATTTTTTAGTACAGTCAACCCTCACTTTACGCGGTCCCACATTCCGCGTTTCCACGTTTACGCGGTGCCCTGCCGGAACCCAGGATGCTCACATTCCGCAGTGCGTGTACCCCTTTACGCGGAGAGCGGCTGGCGAGCCACACCATTTTTGGATCCAAACCTCCCGCCATCCGCCATGTTGTGTAAGCGGCGCGAGCATGGTGTGCACAAGGTAGCCCAGTCATCAAAACATTACCAGTTCTTCACCCGCCACCCACCACAGCCGGCCCAAGTCAGTGATAGTGATAATTATAGTGAGGATATGGACTTATATGGACTTTGAGGGGTTTGACAAAGAGGCCCTGCAAGCCTCTGTGGTGGATAGTGATACAATTGATACAAGTGATACAGGTGAGGGTCAATAATCTGCCCTCTGCCTCGGAACCAACCGCCCATCCCCGTGTGCCCAGCCATCTTTTCTACTAATGTAAGTGTTAAAAACCTAATATTATTGATATTTCTCTTAATTATTTATTGTGTGTGCATACCATCATAAAGTTAAAATAATATTTTTACTACAACATAGTTGTGTGTCGTCAAAAAGTGGAGTTTGGGGGTCGGCCCGGTCTCTATTTCAATTAATCCCATATGTTATGTTGTTCACTTTACGCGTTTCTCACTTTCCGCGGTACCCTGTGGGTTATATTAACCGCGTAAAGTGAGACCCAACTGTAATTAGTGTTAATTAATGACCCTTGCAATTAAAAAACCTTCAGAATAATTAAAATGTTAATTAATGTGCCAGTAAGTTTTAAATCCCCCTTCTACAGTATATATTGTCTAAGAATCTAGACTATCTTTACTTTACTTTTTTATCCTCTTCGCCACTGATCGGCTTGTTAGCCGCTTGGGCGATCGGTCACGACTCTTTTCCTTTATATTCTTCACCAAAAGGTCGGCTCGCTAGCCGCCCGGGCGATCGGTCACGTCTCTGTCACGCACTGTTGGCAAATACTGGGCATGCACCGGCTCCTGAATGTACCTGAACCCGCTCCAGTGTTGGTCAAGTCTTCTCTTGAAAGAGCTCACACTCGGTGCCGTCACAACACTTTCTGGTAGATTGTTCCAAGAGTTTACAACCCTCACCGAAAAAGTTTGCCCTCACGGTTTTCCGGACTTGCGGCTTCTTCAATCTTGAGCTGTGACCCCTTGTGGGGCGAGCGTCCGCCAGCTCCAAGTAAGGACACTCAACTGAGTAGTGCCCCCTGAGATGCTTATAAACCTCAACTAGGTCCCCCCTTGCCCGTCTGTAGTATAAGCTAGGCAAGTTCAGGCGCTCCAATCTCGCAGGGTAGCTGAGATGCCGAAGTGCAGGCACCAGCTTGGTGGCCCTCCTTTGAACATTTTCAACCAACTGACAGTCCCTAGCATATCTCGGGGACCAGATGGGGTGACAGTACAATTTAAGCTCGTTAGTTTTCACCCTCCAGAAAAGAGCCATAAGTCACCACTAAAACTACTGCCCTAATATTGTACAGTACTACAGTATATCTGTATCTATTTAAAACTACAGTACATTAATAATATTTACAGTATTCAGAAATTTGTCATACAGGTTTACAATTGGATAAACATGTATATAAACTATGCAGATATACAGTGCAGCATGAATGTAGACAATGAAGGTACACAGTGCAGCATGAATGTAGACAATGAAGGTATACAGTGCAGCATGAATGTAGACAATGAAGGTATACAGTGCAGCATGAATGTAGACAATGAAGGTATACAGTGCAGCTTGACTGTAGACAATGAAGGTTTACAGTGCAGCATGAATGTAGACAATGAAGGTATACAGTGCAGCATGACTGTAGACAATGAAGGTATACAGTGCAGCATGAATGTAGACAATGAAGGTATACAGTGCAGCATGACAATGAAGGTTTACAGTGCAGCATGACTGTAGACAATGAAGGTATACAGTGCAGCATGACTGTAGACAATGAAGGTATACAGTGCAGCATGAATGTAGACAATGAAGGTATACAGTGCAGCATGACTTGACAATGAAGGTTTACAGTGCAGCATGACTGTAGACAATGAAGGTATACAGTGCAGCATGACTGTAGACAATGAAGGTATACAGTGCAGCATGAATGTAGACAATGAAGGGATACAGTGCAGCATGAATGTAGACAATGAAGGTATACAGTGCAGCATGAATGTAGACAATGAAGGTATACAGTGCTGCATGAATGTAGACAATGTAGGTACATGGTGCAGGTAGGTCGTGGGAGTACAGATATACAGTTTCCTGTGCCGAGACAGTACAGGTAAACTACAGTGGTAAACAATAAGGCAACTTGACCAAGGATAGTCTGCAAAGTTGTCAGCTTCTTATTTTTGGGAGGATCCTTTACTTAGGCTTACTCTTGGTCTCTGATCAGTAACGTCTACAGGAGTGAAAGTTTATGATTTATTTATTTATTTATTTATTTATTTTATTTTATTTTTTTTTTTAAATTGAACAAGCAGTACATTGCTCTTGGACTATCCAAAGCTGGTAGATCACTTCAGCAGTACACTATAACATTATGTGGTTTAATGTATATAGAAGCTCACTCTCTTCTCCTGCAGTAGCTTCAACTGTTATGTATGATTTAGTTGTTGCTTTGAATTTTTGATACTTTAACTATTTTTGATGGGGTCTGGTAACTTGTTTCAGTCTGTTATATCTGTAAAGAAGAAAGTGTTTTTTGGTTGACTGCAGATCCCAGGTCCATAAAATATGTTCACTCCCTCTAGTGCCCTGCTGGTTCATATCCCTAATCCTTACAAGGTTTGTTATTAGATACTTTGGCCATAGTCCACTGAAAATCCTGTAGCATGATTCAGCCTCAGCTGCTTCACTCTATCCATCTTACTTTACCTGTTCAATGATTGAAGAACTTCATGACCAACATGATCTCTTACTTTTATGTCAAGGATAAACCTCACCGCCTTGTTTTGAACAATTTGGTGCTTGGATTACAGCTTCAGTGTTAGGGCAGAGTATATTTACAGTATATTAAATTTATCTTACCATGCATATTTTATCTTCTCAGCTACAAAGAAAACTTTGTCAAGTGAGAGGAGCTCTTCTGTATCACCAGCAACAGCTGGGAGCAACGCTAGTGCTGCAGGAAGTTCTGCTGCAGGTGTCTTAGCAAAAACCAGAATACCAGGAACAGGCACACCAGGAACACCACGGAAAACTTTTACCAGACGAAGGTAGATGAGGACAGATACCTGAGAGTACAGTACATTGGTGGGAGGTGGTGGTGGGGCAGTGAACCAGCTGGGGTGTAGGAGCAGAATAGGGTTGAGAAAATAATATTAAAATGTGTTTTTCAGTGTTGAAGATTTAAATGTGTTAAATATGCCCAAGTTATTTTTTATACAAATTATTTCTCACAAAAAAGAGAAGTGTTAAATTCCAATGGAATTGAAGGTCATTATTTAATTTAAAATCATTAATTTCTTTACTGCATTTCCCAGAATACACAAGTACTCCACATTGGATTATAATTTGTCATCAAAGAAAGGCAGTGAGCACCTTACCATATCTCACTAGTCATGCTACACACTTCACACTCATTCTAACAGAATCCATCCAACCAACTTCATCAAAGGCTTCCTGTTGTGTGGGTGACAGTGACTCAGCTATAACACTAATACAAGGTCATTGTTCTTGCCTTCAATGGTTTGTTCTGTTAGTTTCTTACAAAATTACCTGAGATTCTCTTTCAAACTAGCATGGCTGGATGACCATATGGACGGCTCACAGTAACATGAGCCAAGAGCCTTGTAGGCCTCAATAATAAATATCTATGCAGTAAATTCTGAAATATATTTAAATATTATATGATGCCTGGTTAATGCATTAGCCTTTTAGACATTTTATACAAAATATAAAATAAAGAAATGTGAAACAAAATTTGACAATTTTGAGAAAGTTCATAACTTTTATAAATGAAACCTTGCATGACTTGTTGGTGCCACTATTGACATGTTTGTATGTGAATGTCAGCACAGGAACCCTTGTACACTGTAGTCCAGTACAGTATTACAGGAACCCTTGTACTGTACACTGTAGTCCAGTATTACAGGAACCCTTGTACTGTACACTGTAGTCCAGTCCAGTATTGCAGGAACCCTTGTACACTATAGTCCAGTATTCCAGGATCCCTCATACACTGTAGTCCACATGTTGGTATTACAGAAACAAACTTTTTTTTAAACTAATTTCATTGTAATGATTGGTTGCATGTGGTCCATTTTGCTATCAAGCATCAAAGAAAAATTCAGCCACTGTTGTTAATGACAATTGTTCTTGACTCATACCATTTATCAAGACAATTTGATCACTGGTTATGTCATTAAAATGATTTAGTACAGTATAGTTTTGTTAGCTGTGTTATCAGTGTAGGTACTATGGCGTGTGTGTATGTACAGCCTATGCCAAATCTCACTCCAGGTTGTGAACTTTTGCTTGTTATGAGTGTGTGTATGTTGCCTTCTGCTGGTGCTGTGGGGTTAAAATACATTGACAGATCACACTATAACAAGACTGACTTTTTTTTGTGGTTTTGTTATTTAAAATCTCACCTTATTTACGATATATTTATTTTTATGAGGCTTACATCAAGTTGTTCTCTCTCTCTCGTGTATAGTTTATTGATGTCATTCTGGTGAAGACTCAGAGAGAGTTTCATTTCTCCTGTTAAATCTGTTATTTTTCCTCATTCATAAAGGTTTCTTGTTAGTATATCTCCTCAGTACATCCAGTAAATATTTCTCAGCTCTTAGTTTTGGTAATATTATTACAATACATGTTATACATGTTTACAGTTGAATAGGCATATACATAAACTAGTATGCAGGTACAGTATACAGTTCAGTATATGTATGGGTATACAGTGCTGGTAGGTCGTGGGAGTGCAGTATAGTTTCCTGTGCCGAGACCCTGCAGGTAAACTACAATGGTAAACTTGACCAAGGATAGTCAACAAAGCTGTCAGCTGCTTATTTCCAGGAGGATGATGCAGTACAGTATTCTGTTTGGAATTCACTTTATATTATCTGTATGGAGAACTAATACTGTATTATAAAAATCTTCCCTTTCTCTTCAGGTTCACTATTATACCCACAAAACAGAGTCAATCATTTTCTAAATATGTACACTCAAGCTGGTTCCATCCATCTTATTAGTGGAGACAGTCAGTTATCCCCGTGTGTACAGGCTCCCTCTGAGCTGAATAAAGTCATTCAGTATGAGACAAATGAAATATTAGGAGTACATGTATAGATTATATTGTAATGAACGTGACAGACAAGGATGGCCAGTTGTCAGCCCTTACACTTCCCGCTGGGTTTGAGTAGACAGAAATCCATGAATTTGAATCCCAGTAATTGGTGTTCAAGTAAAATTAGAATAAAATTTGATAATTATCTTTCATCTCTTTTGTTTTTGGTAAAGGTTTTAGGAATTTAACTCTTGTCTTGTTAATGTAGGCAGCTTTACCTACAGTGTGGCAATAGTTGTTCAGGGCTGAATATCTTACTGAACTGTTTCTCACATTATTTTCCACACTTGTTGTTTCAATCTCTGAATCTCTCCTCAGTACGTCAAGCCAGAATCTTTGCTCTTGCTTTTTGTTGACTTAATCCCTTGAGAATTATGATTTAACCCTTTGAGGACAATAGTTTAACCCTTTGTGGATGATGTTTTAACCCTTTGAGGACAATAGTTTAACCCTTTGTGGATGATGTTTTAACCCTTTGAGGACAATAGTTTAACCCTTTGTGGATGATGTTTTAACCCTTTGAGGACAATAGTTTAACCCTTTGTGGATGATGTTTTAACCCTTTGAGGACAATAGTTTAACCCTTTGAGGACAATAGTTTAACCCTTTGAGGACAATAGTTTAACCCTTTGTGGATGATGTTTTAACCCTTTGAGGACAATAGTTTAACCCATTGTGGATGATGTTTTAACCCTTTGAGGACAATAGTTTAACCCTTTGTAGATGATGTTTTAACCCTTTGAGGACAATAGTTTAACCCTTTGTGGATGATGTTTTAACCCTTTGAGGACAATAGTTTAACCCTTTAGTTTAACCCTTTGGGGATGATGTTTTAACCCTTTGAGGACAATAGTTTAACCCTCTGTGGATGATGTTTTAACCCTTTGAGGACAATAGTTTAACCCTTTGGGGATGATGTTTTAACCCTTTGAGGACAATAGTTTAACCCTTTGTGGATGATGTTTTAACCCTTTGAGGACAATAAGTTCAACCTCCAGGACTTAAGATGAAACTGATGCTTGATATGAAGAAACAGATTAACTTGATTTTAGGGTGAACAAGATATACTTCTCAACAGGTGTGTAGTGCTGGTACAGACAGGTTGAGTAAACAGGCTTAACACACAAAATAACTGATGCTATTTGTATTTATAATTTGATATGGAAGATTTTTCTTTAAATATGTCTTGATTGATTATTGGCTTATGAACAGAATTATATTATATTAAAGTCAAATAGGTAAAATGTTGCTTTCAGTAATAGAAGTTAATTAAAGAGAGATAATAGGTACTACAGTGTGTGAAAGGTCTTGGTGCAGTTGTTGTTATATCAAGAGAAGAAGAAGCTGACGTGTTGATTCAATAATGACTTAATATTTCAGTAACAGTGTCCTTGTGTTTTATATTTCTGACAGAGAGAGAGAGAGAGAGAGGAGACACAGAGAGAAAGAAGGAATGAGACTGAGACAAAGAGAGAGAGAGAGAGAGAGAGGAGACACAGAGAGAAAGAAGGAATGAGACTGAGACAAAGAGAGAGAGAGAGTTGTATAAAAGTAATATTGATGCTGGTATGGAAATGAAACTAACCCTCATAAAACAATAACTTTAAAACAATAAAGTGATCATACAGTCGTCCTACACTTGTAATTCATTGGTTCCATAACTTGGCCTTTAGTGTCATTTTAGTAAGTTTTGTGTAAGAATTTATTTTTTAAAGGTTCATATCATCAGCTATATAATGGAAGTCAATGGGAAAATATGCATCAACTTAAGATCGGTCCAGGAACATATATACTGCAATCCTTTCATAAATTTGGGTCTGTTTGTCATTGACGATTTTTACGAAAAACACAATCCAAACACAGGGAAACCTCCATATAACAGACCTCTCTCCATATATTCCATTAAATGGGGGTTTTCACATCCAAAGGATCCTCGGTATAGTGGACTTTCATCTTTGTATAGCTCATTAGATGGAGGTTTCACATCTAACAGACCCTCAATATTACTCACTTTATTCTCCATTATAGTGCATTAAATAGAGACCTTACTGTGGTACAAGAACATATGATGCACCCTCTCCTACTGTATTTATCGCTACAGTATTACATTAATTTAACATTAGAAGAACAATACCGAGTCCCTGATTTTAATGACACAAACATATGGACAAAATCTTCACATTTTAACTCCAGCAACATCCAGCATAAGGTCTACCGACTACACTCTTCCTCTACCAAGGGATTTTCGTTGTACTTTGATAATCTTGTAGTGAGTAGATCAATTATTTGTTGGTTTATCCCATTATTAAGGCAAGATTGATTATTTCAGAGATGAAGGTAGAAGTTATTGGATGTTTCCTCCTCCCCATATACCTTCTGTAGCTGCAGTGGAAGAAAACTTATAGTTAGAGTTTAGATGAAGGTAATGCAATGTATACATTTTTGATAACTACCAGACCTTTTTTCACTAACTCTCGTACTCACATTACTGTACTCAGGTGTAATTCTTCCTCTTTGTTTACACTTGTGATGTACTCGGTGAAAACCTTATTGAACACTGAGGAGGTAATCCACCGCCCAGTGTTTGAGGTTTTCTCCATGTGTCCTTCAGCCTGCTTGCCTGCCCACCCACCCACACAAGGTTACAAAAGTTGTCGCAAGGAAGACACAGACTTGGTTTTATATGTGAGTGAGTACGTATGTTAGTATAGTATCTTGTAGGTACGACCCCTTAACATAGATCCATCCCTCTGACAACTGCGTGAAGTATATAATATGTTAAAACAAGTGTAGCATTTCCCTTCTATTGCATGACCATCTCTCCATAAAGTGGTTTGGTTTTTAATATGCTGGAAACATATTTAGACTTGACTTATTTACCATAACCCAATAATTTCATGTCATTCATACATATGCCAATGTTACACCTCAGCTGCTGGCAAGACAAAGCATCAAGACATGGCGAAGTGACTAAGAATCATTTAGATATATTTAAAACATAGGTATGTGAATATTATGAGTCTTGAGAAGAACTGGTTTATTAATAACTTCAAGGGAACACTGAGTAGAATCACTGGTCATGTTCTGGCTGGGTTGTCTTTATGTAGTGTGAGATGTCCAGTAGTTAGATACATTCTGAGTCACTGAACTTGTCTACCATATGGCTGTGAACAATTTATTCTGCTCCACAGTTTTATGGAAGTTTTTCAGTGACAAAATCATCATGTAAGAAAGTACTGTATCTGCTTTGTCTCTTGGTTCTAACATGGCCACCAAACACTGTCATCCTTACAAATACTTTACTATATTTACCTCTGAGAAGTTTTCCATCAAGTTACTCTCCCTGCAGTGTAGAGGACAGTTAGGAATGCAAACAAATATTATCACTTGTATTACAGTTTTGACTTACTAACACGAGTGTCCAGGCAGTGTTGACCTGTTCTCAGATGACCACAACTTCCTCAGTCATTATTTACACAGGATCTGGTTGTGATAAACTTTTTTTTAATGCAACAGATGGTCGAGCTGTCTGGAGATTCAATAATGAAGTATTTATGAAGTTTCCTCTGAACACCTGTCAGTTTTTTGTACACTCTAAGCCACACCTCTTCTTACATACAGTGGCTCCAGATATACAGTAGTTGTGTAGTCTTTAATAACAGTAATTAATGCTCTCTTAATATTTTCATTGAGCAGCCCTGTACAGTAGACAGGGTGTAGCTAATGTCAGGATCCATGGGAATTAATATATATTTTTGTATTTATTTCCTTTAGTATACAGTACCTATACTATTATAGTACATATAATCAAAGTGAGAAACATTTACTTCAGTTATTTACATCTTTTAACTTTTTTTAATACAGTATACAGTAATTGAATACTTCTTGACCCCTTCAGTTCTTTTTTAGTAACACACACACACACACACACACACACACACTGTGCTCAGAGAAAGTTAATACAAGACAATACACGTGAATCCTCTCTCCTAGACAACTGCACATCACACATGAATGCAACTGACAACATGAGTAAAAAATTTAGAATATAACATATTGTCTTGTTGAAATCTTCTGAGATTATTAGAAATTTATTGTAGATCATTGCTGAGTAACATACATATATTAGTAACACATTGATAACTGGCTCCATCTTTCCCATACATCAACGCCAACTCCATATACTGTGGTAATTACTGTATCTTTAAATGATTTGGGGTCAATTTTAACATGAATAATCTAATAAATAATTATTATATTAAAATTTCCATAAGTCCTGAGTTTTGCACCAGCCTGTACTGTACTGTACTTGTTTACCATTGTTACCTGACATGTTCTGGTGTGTACAGTACAGCTTAGGTGATGTAGACTATATTATCAAAGGTTTATTATCTGCTTACAACAGATTTAAGCACTGGTGGCCATGTTGGAATAGTGACTAACTTTACGAAGCATATAATGACACTTGTATTTTTAAGGTCCATTTCTGGCTCCACGAAGGTCGCTGGTCAGTAAAGTCTGGGTTATGATGTTGAGGAATGTTACAAGTTGTGATGGGTGTAGGGCCACAGGGCTTCTCATCACTCTGGTACAGCGATCAGCGCTGAGCTCAACAAATTATTCTACGCCTGTGATCTTGTAAATTATCGTGCTTTTTAATTAGAAAATATGGATTTCAAAGACACGTTGCTCACCCTTGGAAGATTTTGTACTTTAATGTACTGTATTGTACTGTACTGTGCGGGGTAAATTATAAATGTGACATCCAGCTTTGAATGTTGAGAAAGCTTACACAGTTGCTGTACACATTACTATTTAC